ATAATCATATAGTGGTTTTGGGACGTTAAACCCCACATATCAATCAATCAATCAATCAATCAATCCGGTTGGGAGCACGGCGCAGTTTCAAACTGTACTACGCAAACGCTGTGCCAGGCTGTACACTCTCTCCTAAACCTTTATTTCCTCCTCTCCCTTACGCCCTTCCTTCTCGTCCTCACTTTCGTTTTACTCTCCTTCCAGCTGCGTGAATCTGTGCGAGGTTCGGCGGGGCGTTGCCAAGCTAGAGAAAGCTGCTCCGCGTAGTCTCAAGGCAACACGCAGGGACGTATACAAGCTAGGCAAGAATTTTGCCAGCACCACAGGGACCGAGGTCTAGCCTAAACAGCTGCGCTGTTAAATGTGTCGTCACTGTTTACACCGGCGTTGATTACTCTTTAATGTAACCTTCTGGCGTCATGACAACTGCCAACATTCCATATAGCGATACCTTTCTCTATGTTAATGAATTTCGTGTCTTCCACCAGTGCTGTGATTACTGGTGCTCGGTGATTCTTGGTCCAGCCACATTTTATACACGAAAATTTACAGTGGATTCGCGTTGCAATAACACTACAGCAAAACCGGTCATAAAGCATCTCTACGGAATACCCCCCCCCCCCCCCCGGTTTTCATTATTCATACCGATGAAGTTCTTCAACGACGCACAGCACGACCACGCGGGTAACTACAGACTGCTTCCACTCAAGTCCCAGGAGATAGTATTAACTCAGCCCATCCTTCCAGGCGTCACCAGCGAGTGCCTACATTTAGACTTACTGCTGCACGCTTAGGCAGCAGAGTTGCACGTAGGTCCACCTAGCAACCACAGCTATGCGGCGAAGGTGCACTCTGCTTTTGCAGGCCACACGCCTAGCGTGTCGCCGATCGACATCCCTGATCTTATTGCCTCCTGGTAACGAACTTGACTCAGTACAGTTCGATGAAACTCGGTGTCGGGAGATACAAAATTGGCTTGAGTATCAGCTTCTCGGCAATGCACAGTTGTCAACGGCGATTGTAAGCTCGGCTTACATCCAGCCACCGCAGCCGTGGTAGTTCAGCGATGCCACGTGAACTGATGAGAAAAGAATATCAAAACCACGCGCGTCGCCGAGCTACTCGGTTTCTATAGTCGTATATACGACGATCACGCGCGTGACTATACGGCTTATATCTAATGCCGCACTAGTGCTCCGTGCGAATTTTTTTTTTTTGGGGGGGGGGGGAGCCTAGTGTGCCATCCCCTAGCTACGCCACGGCCGTGTGGGTGACGTCACGCGAATACCTGCTATAGAGCCACGCTGGCCGCTTGGACCAACAAAAGCTTTTCCCGTAATAGCCTTGAGCAGAAGGTGCTTTGCACTTTGGACTTTGGTACTGAGAGTCCGATGATTCCACGGTAGTAGCTCGTTTGCCATTATCGCGGAAATCATACTGCGTGAGGGCCGCATAACATATTGCAAATGATGAAAACGAGGAAGTTCGCGTAAGAGGTTTTGCAACTTACCGTTGATTTCTTCAACAATAGTGGTAGCTTGGATGAGTGGAAAGTTAGAAGCTCTAATTTTGTTTGCTGAACTTGGCGATTGCCTTGTTGCTTTTCAAGTCCAGCAGCTTCATGCGGTCAAGATTGGTCTACTGAACGACCACTTCAACACCAACTTGCATGGCTCAGAAGCGTGACGCCGAAGCAAGAATGCAAACGTCGCTGTTGTAATATTCTTGCAGCCGAGAGACTGCGCGCATTGATTTTCCGAGAACGTGAAAAATTTGCATACCGACTTTATGAGCATGAGTGTCGGTAGGAGTTTTTCTTGGGGTAGGGGGGAGCCCGTGTTGCATCACGGCTGGGGGGGGGGGGGGGGGGGGTAGAGCATGTACTGGTGTCACTTGAACACTTGAGGGGGGGGGGGCGGCTTTTGCAGCCCATCGCCGACGTCCATATTTGTGTGCAGGAGATTACCTTTCTCTAATTTATCTTAGACTTGTAATTTTGCGCAAGATGCGCATGCTCTTCCTTCATGTACTTTACGATACTCATTTACGTTTTCGTAATCTCTATTTTTTATAACGCTGGTGAAAATGGCTTGCGACTCAGTGAATAGACAGAAGCGAGTGCCCGTGGAGATGACAGTGAGTAGGCACTTATACAGTTCATCGCGAAGTTGGCTCCTCCACAAAACGCTGCTTGTAGAGCAGCATTACATTGAAAGTATTCGTTTGCATTGAAAAGCGCGTACAATACACGCATGATTTCAACTCATTACCAGGTGTCATCACAGCTCTCTATAGGCTCGTGCACGCAAGCATGGTCTACGTACGTTACATGCTACCGCTTTACGCACGTCCCATCCCACGTGATCGCTCATGGTGATCACTTCGTTTTTGGCGCATGCAGATTAAGTCAAGTGATGATCGCGAGACAGTACCATTTTCAGAACGGGTTGTCGTATATGTTGCAGTTAACTGTATAAGTAATACTGCAATGTCCAGGTATTTGTAGTGATTGAGTGATTGATTGCCATAGGTCAGTCGCCTGACAGCAACCTCAAGACAAAATACGAGCACTGATGGACACAAGACAACGGTTTCTTCACGGGTAGACGACGTTTTTATCTCTCGAACCTCGATTTTACATGCAATATACATCGGTATGTACAATGTTTCCACATTGAAACCTACATCCGGGTCATTTCTCTTTTTTTCGTCATCATATTCATCATCATTTAAATAGAGGTACTCAAATATATTAAAAACTTCCATCTTTCATTTCGGGGCACTGACACACAGCTCCACCCAAGCGCGCTCAGAACACAAAAAACCCCAAAATGGCATATATTTTTTTTGCTTCTTTTCTTGAGACATTGAAATATAGTGAGAAAAATTACACAAAGTAAGAAGAGAGAGAGAAGGCGAGTCCCGCAGGCGGAAAACAAACGAGCGGGTCCACGTTGAATACACTGCCGCCGCTATATATAAATCTCAATAGATCTGTCGCAAAGCAAAGGTACGCTCACACAGACACACGTTATCACTGGTGGAACAAGATAATATGTCTCGCGAGCAAATACCACAGCAACCGATAACGGCCGCTGCCCACAACATAGAGAGATAACGCACTGAACAACAGTTCTTATCGATCTCCATACGGCACCCAGCTTGCTTCCAATTTAAAAAAAAAAATTGAGCTACATATTGAACACGACATCTTCCACGGCGACTTTGACTTGAGCAACCAAACTATACTGGTACCGAAGCATTAAAAAAGAAACAGAATTTAGAATCTTCAGACAGGTGACGCTGGAATTCGTGAATCCTTTTAGCAGATTTCGAGACTCAATACTATTTGCGACATTAGGATTTTGGCATTGTATATCTGCCTAGAAGTAAAATTCGCCTACGAGCAAAATTTCAATGTACCGACTATATCTTGCACTCGCAGCATCTAATTTACAGAAGAATCATTGACTGAAAATGAGAAGATCCGAGTTTTTTTATTGTCTTTTTTCTTTCCTGAACTATGCTAAGGACGATTGAAATCGGCATGGAAGTGTTTGCGAGCAATTTTCGTAGGCGGAGAAAGGATTAAAACTATGAAAAAAAAAAACGTGGAAACAATATTCAGCACGGCATAAATACACGGGCGTATATAATAGACCACGATGCCATTCAATCACAACCATACAAAGTGGTCATGACTCGACACATATTCCCTGTAAACTTTCGTTTTCTGACACTTAAACAGGCGGCTTCTCGGTTTAATTCCTCGCGGTTCTGTTTATAACCTTGAGGGACTCGCCAGTTAACTCGCGTAGATCGACAAACTCTGCAATCGCGAGACATTGCCGAATATACAGAAAATAAAAATACGAAAGAAAACGACAGAGTAAGCGAACAAAATTTTTCTTTCTGAACCCACAGTGACAGAAGGTACGCACGTATACAATGTTCAAGCCTTTTTTTATATATGAAAAATAAGCATAACCCTCGATTCGCCACACACATATAAAAAAAGTAGCACTCGTTTGCTTGGTAAAACAATGTCACATATGTGATTTTCAGCATCGGTTATGACTAGAATGAGATCACCGAACGCGAACGAGAACAATTACAAAAAAAAAAAGGCACGAGAAAGAAAAAAAAAACTTTCAGAAAGACGCCTATTCTGAGAACAAACAGCTCTGATGGGTTCAAAAAGGACGGGCCAAAAAGGCGAAGAGCACACACGCACACGCCATCTCCCGCAAGTGGTACATAGAGCATCGTCAAACCTTCAACAGTTCGCGTAAGATGAATAAAACAGATCACGCGGGATGAAATATAGCTTACTCTCTCTCTCTTTCTGTTTAGGTAATCACACTTTCCAAAGCAAAGACAACACCATATAACCGCGGGGTCCAGTCGAAAAGTTCACCACGCATAGCATGGAGCAACAGTGCAACGTTGTAGACCTATATGCCGTGTTTGTAAACACCGGTAGGCGACGTCGACATATTGAGGCGCTTGTACCAACGTCAGGGCGCGTGGGCCCCGCCCAGATGATGATGATGATGATTAAAGGCCTCCCCTTTGAATCGGGGTGACGGCATGCGCCATCTAGCCTACCTTAATAGTTTAAATTTTGTCCCTCAACTCGGATGTCTTTTAAATTTTGCCCAGCCGCTACTCTTGGCTGGGATGTTATTTTATCGACTTCTCTGCTTTTCCTCCACCAATACTCCAGCCGCTGTTTAGTAATACCTACTGCTGACCAGTTAATGCTTCCATCAACCGCGAAGCCCAGCGCCTCAGGAAGTGTGACCTTCCCCCCATTTCTATTCGGCTGAATCTTTTGGCCCAGCCCAAGTCTGAACAGCGCCATCTATGATCACGTGACAACCGTCACAGCAGCTGCAAACTGGGCGGAACCCGCGCGCACTGACAAGCGCTTCAGTATGTCGACGGCGTCCACCGCTGTTTACAAACATCGAATCAGGTCTGTACAGAATATGACGGCATTTTTTTTTTCTCTTCAACTCGTACAGCAGGGGAGGAGGTTCTCAGATCACACGCACGTGAAAGAAATGTGTGCGCGGATTAACAAGCCTGCGCATGAATGAATAGCACGTGTTACAGGAGAGAGACACTAAATAAAAAAAAGGGGACACAGTTGACTCACGAGGGAAGGTAGAACCCAAAAAGAAGTTTGAAGGAAACCAAAAGGAAGAGAAAAAAAAAAACTAGCAAATCAAGGAAAAGATCGAGAGGCAACAAAAAAAAAAACGTAGATATTTTTTTTTCTTCGTGGAATGAATAGTGAAGTCGACAGGCCGGCCGTCACACGTGGTTTTATAGATTTACGCATAACACCGGGCCTCCCGAAGATATCGCAGTCACAGCGTGATGACGCATCCACCGCTCCTTGCACATGAGCAACGCGAAACGTACGCGAGGATTATTAAACGTCGCCGACGTCAATATTATCATAATTATTATTGTAATTATTACTTCTTGTCGTCCACCGAGGGTCCGTTCTCGCCAACTAGCACGAGTGCGGTCGTGTACGATTCCACCGCAAGCTCCCACTTCCTGTGACACACGATAAAGCTTCCCCCATTATTATGCCGTCCTGATATCCCCCCCTGCCAAGGAGTCACGGTGTGCTGGACGTCTACAGTGGGGGTCACCTTGTCGTTAGATGTCGCGTAGAATACCACGACGTCTATGCATGCGTGTGTGTCAACTTCAATGTCTTCCGCGCACGCTCGCACGACGACGCGAGATCGCGAGACGAGCGCGTACGCGACACCGGGACTTCAAAGAAATGGTCAACGTTGAGCATTGCGTTAAAGGAAATGTAACTAAGTTGACGCAGCGACCTGACAGAGACGGAGGGGGGGGGGGGACATATCAATTCGGGAAAGGCATGTGGAATTGTGTCTGTGTCCCCGTTTAGTTGCGCGAGCACGCTCCTTTCGTGTACTACTCAGAACAGGTTTCTAGAAAAAAAGAGAAAGAGGGTCAGAACTTCGCCAACTTTCGAGATCGGGTTGAATAAATTATTAGGCCACCGCTTTCACCCCGGCCTTAAGAAAAAAAAAATAAAGGGATTGAGCGACGCTCTCGCCAAACCGTCGTGGACGTCATCGCCCTCTGCGCGTACCAGGACTACGGAAGGGCAATACGTGAAGAAGGGTTCGTGACGTGCATGGACTCTGCGCCCGCGGCCTTGTCGCTAACGTGCGCTGCACCGTTCGCGTCGAGTCTGCACGTGTTTACATCAACCCTCGCAACAATAAGAGACCCACGCAGCGCGACACAATGAGAACGGCCCAGTTCCGAGTCCACTCCGCGGCGACACGCCGGAAATGCGACGCCATCGGTTTGGCTGTTCGTCCTGTCCCACTGGCACACAGCACAACTTTGTCTTTGAGCCAGCTGCGAAAGAAGTCTGTCTTGGGCAGTATCACTACTGACGTCTCCTCCTCTGCCTATCAAGGTGGTCGTGCAGGTAGGAGAGAGGAAGAAAGAGAGTTTGTCCGGGGCAGGGCACACACAAACACTTGACGGTGTAACACAAGCAGTGAGCGGTTCCCGAGGTCGTCAGGATGAGGTGCGCAACGTTCCACGACGCGCCGCGTTGACTTATGTATAGACTTCGCCAGCAGCGATGGTTGGGAGGCGATGAGACCGAGATCGCTAACGCACACAGTGAGGAAAAACCGCACCAGTCCTGCCGCGCCTGCCGCGGCTGTCTCGGGTTTCTCGAGGAGGATTTTTTCACTCTGGCTTTTGAATGAGCCCAGGGAGACGATAGAGATTCCGTGACTTGGCGTAGCGGGGCACTGCACTGCGAGAAGGACACGCGCCCGACTTCTGGGCAGGAGGGTGATGAGACGGCGGTGCCATTCGCTCAAGCTGTCACTTCACAACGCACGCGCGCCCACAAACAACACAATGGACGCTTTTTTTTTTCCTTTTTCGGTCCTTGAGCTCGCAACGTTCGCGAATCTTTCTTTACTTTCGGGACGTTGCGGTGAGCAAAGGGTCTCTTCCAATGGCCGCATACGTAAAGACCGTGCAGCTCACTTGCTGGACGCCGGCGAGTGAGCGGGCGCTGGCGACGCCCTGGGTGGCGTCGCGGACGCTGGAGCGGGCGACGTACTTGCCGCCACGGGGGTGCCAGGTGCCGGGGGCGGCCCTGCGGCGGAGGAGCCCGCCGCGGAAGGAGCCGTGGCGGGGGCGGCCGGCGTCGACACCGGCGACGCAGAGAACGTCGAGCGGCGGTCGTTCTCCTCTCCGTGGCAGTGGATGCAGTGCATGCACACCGTGCAGCGACCCGTCATCTTGGCCAGCGTGGTGCGCAGCTTGAGGGCCGGCCCGAGTCGCATGCCCATGTAGACGGTCAGGTGATCCTCGGTCAGCAGGGGGAGGCTCGTGCCGTCAATCGACTGCTCACGGAATTTCTGCGAAGACAAAAACAAAAGTGGCCATGAACATTCGCATGCGCCGGAAAGAAACGAACACACGTGAATCTGTGGTTTTCAAGCGGCGCACACCGCATTAGCAACTTTGTTGAAACAATAACGCTAGCAGTAACGCATGAAACGACTTCAGTAAATTTTGCAGGCTGATCATCACTTGTACAATTGACAGATGCCTACCTTTCAGCGATTGATATGTGGGGTTTAACGTCCCAAAACCACCATATGATTATGAGAGACGTCATAGTGAAGGGCTCCGGAAATTTCGACCACCTGGAGTTCTTTAACGTGCACCCAAATCTGAGCACACGGGCCTACAGCATTTCCGCCTCTATCGGAAATGCATCCGCCGCAGCCGGGATTCGAAACCGCGACCTGCGGGTCAGTAGCCGAGTACCTTAGCCACTAGAACACCGCGGCGGGGCCCCTACCTGTCAGCGCTACTATAGCGACCACACATATATTACGACCTCACCCTAACTTACGGCTCCTCGCAGTGAGCACTACAACGTATACTCAGTCACGACTACTATATTACGGCCGTCTTTTATGCTCCAGTCGACTTTGACGAACCAAGTACGGACGCCAAGATCTGGTGCTAGGCTCTTTGAGTACACACACAACGCATCGTGACGAGCTGTCAACTCGATAATTTGGAGGGCCTTTCAAACAGATGTCAGTCATTCCACTATTTCCGCCCACGTGAGAGCATGCACGTCTACATCTGTCATTCTTAAAGGGACCCCAAGCGCTTGTCTCGGGTGGGTGCAGAAGTCGGCATTACGACACGACCAGGTTGACTCCAAGCCATATATGCCTCGTTGCGCCTCCCACGCAAATATAGATTTCCGCGAAAGGAGTCGTGACGCACTATATGTGAAGAGAAACGCGCGGCACGAAGGCCTGACTTGTTCAGACTCCTTTCGATAGAGGTCGTCTCGTGCTTACACTCGCGTACATGCGAGGAGACAGTTGTAAGTTGCGTGCGATGCAATGGCATCGCCACACGCCCTCACAAAGCGCTAACCCATCGTGTGCGTGCCCCCATAAATATACATGCGTGCCAACGCCGAAACACGTTACTGCTCGCAGCATGCAAGTGTGTCCCTCAAAAACTGCAACGTTGAGAGGCGAAACAGTAATAATACCTTAGGTCTTACGTTCCAAAACCACGACACGGTTATGAGAGACGACGCAGTGAAGGGCTTTGCGAATTTCGACCATCTGGTGTTGTTTAACGTGCGCTGACATCACTTAACACACGGGCCTCTACTATTAACGCCTCCACCGACGAAATGCGACCGCCTGTGCCGGGATGGACGCCACGACCTTCGACAGCCGAGCACCACTGCTCCACGGCGGCGGACGAGGCGTAACAGTAAGCGACAAGATTGGCTTTGAAACGAAAGTGAAGCATCGCCGCTGCACAACGACGTGTAAGCGATGGAAACACTGAACGGAGCGCAGAACTCAGTAGTTTTTCCAGATTGTCATCGTCACCATCGTCACGACGACCAGAGAATTTACAGCGATACGTATGATCGCCAACCAGAATCAGTCCTGGCTGTCACGACGACCAGAGAATTCACAGCGATACGTATGATCGCCAACTAAAATCAGTCCTGGCTGACCTCCGTGCCCCATATGCAACATTATCCTCACAATCAAAGTGCACTACAAAGGCACGTCAGCGGAGTCCATCTACAAGCTTCCGGTTTCTTCATAACATTTTATATCCACCAAAGTATCCAACTGTACAAGCTCGGAGGGCAATTGTGTACATTGATGCATCCACGCTCGTCCCCTTTTTTCAGGTAAGTTAACCTCCGCATCTAAAGCATGCGGGTGCGCGGAGAGCCGTCGTTAGAGAAATGGTCATCGAAGTAACATTCAGGAAAAAAAATAAAACAGAATAACGAGAGAAGAGCGCGCTGAACAGAGTGTTCATGGTATACGGAACGATCACTCTCTTAAGTGTATACATTTTCGCCATCGCCGTGCGATCGTTACATAACGTTCGTCGAGAAAGGAGTCCGACTGTAAACGGCTCTCCTGACCTGCGACGTAATGCTATACAATCCACCGCCGACTGCAAAAAGTGACGCCGTAACTGAAAGCCGTTCTTTGCCGCGTGTGTCTATAAGCGCCATAAAAGCTGCACCAACTCCCGTACAGGCCATCGGTGGCGGAACACCTGGCATTTCGTGTAAGATCGTAGGAATAGCCGGTTCGCACGTACGCGTACCTTCGTTAACCCATTAGTGCCCCTTGTTGCATATCTGCAACACCCAGTTCCGTGCCCTGCCGATTGCAAGGATCCTAATGCACTGGTAAAAGTTCTCCATACTATGCTATTTCGAGGGTTCTTCGTGCCACCCAGTACCAGTTTAAGCCGCTTGGGGGCCACATTCGTCGTATCTGCAGTTTGCAAAATGGCAGCATCCACGTCGTCGTCGAGCTCTGCAATCAAGGTACTGTAAATATTTTTTTATGAGCCCTCAAGTTAAGCTGCGTTGCTTTTTTCACTGAATGTGTGTTCGAAACACTCTTGACAGCAATCTAGAACCCAACAGTTAGTTTTTTGCTTGCTCTGTTCGAGAAAATATTTTTTGCACGTGGTGTGTTGCACATATGCAACAGTGGGCACTAAATGCCACAATTTTCATTGTTGCAGATATGCAACATTGCTTTTCTGCTTGAAACGCGTCTTACATATCGTGACACGCATTCATGTGGAGTGTGTGAACGGATGTCTGTTTGCTAATTTTGCTGTTTTAACGATTTTTCAGGGACATACTGCAATTTCAACCTCAACATTCTATTCTGTTCCAAAAGAGAGGCCGAAGCGTTTTGTTCATGCAAACCTGCTGGATGTTATCAACCCTAATGAGAGCGATTTTTCCGCTGATGAAAAAAGTGGCGAAAAAGTATCTGGAGACAGCAGTGATGAAGGAGATGCCATCCAAACTGAGGTAGAAGAAGCTGAGGAAGATGTTGCTACCTCGACAGATGCGCCTCCGGTAGATTGGATACTGCAGAACATGAAAAGGCGGTACACATGGGTGAAGAAGGATTTTGATATCGAGGCAGGTAGTTTCGAGAACAACTTTCCGCTGCCACCTGCAGAGCCGCTGAGTGCAGTGGAATACTTTGACATGTTTGTTTCTCGATCCATGCTAAAGGCTGTCGTCGATAAAAGCAATAAGTACTACTTTCAAAAACATGGAGCCACTCTAAACCTCACCGTGAAAGAACTTACATCTGTTCTGGGCATGTTTTTCAGGATGGGACTCGTAAACATGCACAGGGCTCGTGCTTATTGGGAAAATGGAAGTACATATGAATTAGTAGCCTAGGTAATGTCCCGTAACAGATTTGAAAAGATTACAAGCCACCTGCATTTTTTCGATAATGAAGCGGCCAATGACAAAGTAAAAGAAGACGAATGCTGGAAAGTGCGCCCATGGCTCAGTTCCTATTCATTAATTAGGAAAAGACTTTTAATTGTTCCGTTTCAAGCAGTAGGTTTAAATTTAACTGCAGATAATGTTCTAAGTTTCGGTGCCTTTAGCTTGGGACATTGCCACAGGAGCGTATTCGATGCTGTATGCAATTTCATTCGAGAATCAAAGCGCATGTCATAATAATGCCTGCTTAAATATATTTCTGAAGACACTTGTCTAATTTTGAATGAAATTTGCATATTCATTTGATTGTGACCGGGTGAGATAAGCTCGATTGTCTGGTCTACTCAAAATTTCTGTCTTCCACTGTAGTATTACCTCACCTTTTCTCTTCTTGATTCAATCTTCAATTATTTGTTTAGTTTAATATTCCTTTTTAGTTAATTATTATTTTCTATTACATCATTAGTTTTTTCATTAAGGATAAACCTTTTAATATATCTCATATAGGATACTTCTAGATTTCATGGCCAATCCCCCATAGTGGGTATGTGCCAGTGCGAAGGGGCAACAACAACAACAACAGTTCCTTGAGCAGCAACATGGTTGTCTTGCCCCAAGAAAAAAAATCTGCAGTGGACGAAATCTTGATCCCTTTCTGTGGGCGGTGTTACATTCGTCAGTACATGCCTAATAAACTAAAGAGTAAATGGGGTCTAAAACTTTGGGCACGTTCTGGGGAATCAGGTCTGTGTTATGATTTTGATGTCTACCAGCGCTGACACAAAGGTTTTTATGGCAGCCAGGGTGGCTACCAGCTTGGGTTGGGAGCTGGTGTCGTGCTCCAACTGTGTTCCAGCCTACCGAAGCGAGACGACAACCTAGTTGTCGCTGATAACTTCTTCACAGGCCCTCAGCTTGTAGAGGAGCTTTCAAGAATGGGAATTTTCTATATTGGTACGGTTCGGGAAAACAGACTCAGCTGCAGCAAGTTGATGGATGAGAAATCGAAAAAGCGAGGTCGGGACACCTGTGATACTTCAGTCACTTCATGTGACCAAAAGACAATGGTGGCAGTGAAGTGGCATGACAACCGCACTGTTACTCTTCTTTCGAACTGAATTGGTGCTGACCCGCTTACATCAGTCAAAAGGTGGGACAGCAAGGAGAAAAAGCATATTTTTGTCGATTGTCCAGCGATCATTTCTTCCTACAACAGATCAATGGGCGGCGTGAATCTTCTAGACAAAATGTGCTTCTCCTATCGCTTTTCTATCAGGTCTAAATGCTGGTATATGTAATTGTTTTGGCCCACGCTCAAAATAGCAGCTGTTAATGCATGGTTCATGCACAAGAGAATTCTCCAGCAGCACAAACTGCCGCCTACACCTTTGAGAGAATTCCTCTCTGAGCTCGCAACGAGTCTGATCTTGCTCAACAAACGACCACCAGGGCGCCCTTCGATTCAGAATGTCACACCATTCAAGAAAGTGTGCCTAAATGTCCCCCGGGATGTCAGAAGAGACAGCAACGAGCACTGGCCCACATGGAATGCAAAACTGAACCGCTGCAAGGCAT